TTTTAAAATATGAACTAAGAACCCATTAGCTCAGTGAAAAAGAAAATCCCTCACTTACCCGGGGTATGAAGAATTCATCAGCACTGAACTTATAAAGCCACTCATCCAAAAAGTGAAACAGAAGAGACTGTAAGTCATCTCCTACACAGCATCAAAAAGAACCATAATAATAATATATTTAATAATTCTTGTCTCTGTCAATTTTCTTGCTCTTATTGTGAAAATATATTGAAATCACATAGAATACTACACATTTGTATAACAATTTCTTCCCTGTGAATAAATTGGTTACCTTGGGTTTCTACTTCTATTGTTTGGAGAGGCTCCACAGTCCCAGTATCTGTCATGTAACCAAACATGGCCATTGCACACTGTTCAAATGCTTCCTCCAGAGTATCTCCCCATGCGTGTAACCTAAAGAAGTACATTCATGCCCTATGGATTATAATCCACAGCAAGAGAGAAGACTTGACAGCAAAACCAAAATAAAATCAGTACAATAAATACAAAGGCCTCCATCGGTTTAATGGTACTGAAATAGGATTCTTTTAAACCACCATTTTCATGTTCTACAGGAACCAAAATAGGAAATTTTAAACTAGGGACATTAAGATTAAAACACGAGACTTCCTACTTAAGTACCCAGTTTCAAAGGACAAACTCCAACTATACTCACTGGACATCCGCTGTATGATCCAAATCTAAGGAAGAGAGGGAAAAACACTTGTAAGTCACTAAACTTGACTTGCAAGTCACAAGAAAATAACTCTAGCTCATTATTAGGAACATCATTCTTGAAGAGCAAGAAAATGTGCCACAAGACCACACCTTTTGCCATCCATTTACACGACAAAGTAATTGCTTTGTTAAGGGCGGTCTTTTAAAAAGCCAAGACTTATATTTAAATGATTGAGTTTCTGGAAGGCAGCAAGGCCAGGGTCTTCTAGGATCTAAAAAGTGTCTCATCATTGTAGTTTCTCGATAAATAAAGGCTATTTCCTGCCATTTGAGTTACTTTACCTCAACAGATCAGATTTCTAAATATCTACTGTGCAAACGATCGATTCTAGGAACTACCCAAAGATAGGAAATGCCAGATTTCTCCATCTCACCTTTTTGTGAACAGCTAGCCAAATCCTATTAAAGCAGGTTGCTTTTTTAAGAACAAGAGTCAAGTTTATTTGTTGGTGTCTTGCACTTCAAGTACTCCTCAATGATGTCCCTGGCTGATAAAAGTTTTAGACAGTAACTCTACAATATGCACTATGAGCTTTTTCCTGATACTCTCATAGGAATACCAGAAAGTAACAATTGTGAGGACAGTGAGCTTCCACTGGGGGTTATTATCTTAACATTCCAGAGTCCATTTTTCACTTGTATCCTGACTTCAACAATTCTTCCTGCTTAAGATTACAGAACATCCAGGCTAAAAGGAAGTCTTGGGAGATCATTTAATATAATTCCTTTATGTACAAGAAGAAAACTGAAATCCAGAGATTGTGTGACTTGTTTAGGACCACACTGTTGATGAGAGGCAGAGTTGGGATTAGAACTGAGGTTTCCCAATTCCCTATTTAGTCTACTTTGCACGATAGCACACAGTCTTTCAGTGGCATTCAAGGTTCATATTCTTCTCTCTAATTCACTCAAAAACATTACTGTGGACTTAATACGGTTTAGGCACTAAGGGGCTCATGACCCCCAAAGATGACAAACAAGTTAAAAGAAAATGGTATTTATTAACCCTAAAGAAATGAAAGCATGTGTCCACAAAAAGATGTAAGAATGTTCACAGCAATTTTATTTATTAAAATTAAAACCTAATGTCCATCACTAGGACAGATAAACTGAGAAATAATTATACAATGCAATACTACTTAGTAAGAAAAAAGTGTGACCTACTGATACATGCTTAACACGAACTGCAAAAACACTAAGTGAGAACTGTGGAACAACTCTCGGCACACTCAACCCCATCCAACCCCTCCTGCAGGAAGGGGCCTGACCATACTTGAACCCAGCTTCTAGCAGCACAAGACTGTGTTCCTAAGATCACCCAGCTCCCTCATTACAAAACCTGCTTGAGAAAGCTCGACACTGCCAGAACTTACTGTTTGTTCTAGCCAAAACCCGATAATAGGCCTTGACCTCCCTTTTTTGAACATTTACTAGAAAGGGCTTACAACTGTATTTCTCTCTTAAAATTCAACAGTGTCTTTTTCAAGGACTCCAGAGCCATTCCTTTGAAATGTAATCATATGGAGGGACTCTCAGTCTCTGTGGGAAGATAGAATCCCAACTTTGATAGATAGCAAACACTGCTAGCCTTACGGAATTTACGCTGACCAACTGTTGGTAACTTTCCACTTCTCTGACTCTACACTCTCTCCCTTCCCTCAATTCTCTCTTGAAAAAGCCCGACCACCTCTGCACAAATCAAAATGCAGCTCAGCCTTTTCCTACTGTCAGTAGTTAAAGTCTATTCACCACCAGCCATGTTTATTTTTGATAGAGTTAAGACAGCAGACACAAAAGAATCTATACTATGTCAGTCTACTTCCATGACACTGTAAAAAGGCTAACTTAAAGCTATGGTAATAGAAATCCAATGTTTGCCTCAAGGTAAGTGGATGGGGGCTGATTGGAAGGGAGCAAAAGGGAACTTTCCCAGGTGACAGAAATGTTCTATAGCTTGGAGTGTCGGTTACACAGATATATCTGTTACCAAAACTCACTGGACTTTACTTTACACTTAAGATCTGAGCACTTTTACTATGTATATTATACTTGTTTTTAAAAAAGCTTAAAGAAGACAATGACAGATTGCCATAAGGCAATGGTTCTCAAATCTTTTAATCTCAGGAACCCTTTATTCTCTTAAAATTTGAAGATCCCAGGGCTTTTGTTTATATGGGTTGTGTTTTATGTGTCAATACCCACTATACCAGAAATTTTAAGTGAAAAGTTAAAAAATACTTACTCATTTAAAAATAACAATAAGCCCATTTTATTTCACACAAATTGCATATTTTTATAAAAAATAACGTTTCCCAAAAAAATTAATGAGAAAAGTGGCACTGTTTCGCATTTTAGCAAATATTATTAATGTCTTTCAACATGTTGCAATATGCTTAGCTGAAGTACATAAATAAAATCCAACCTCACAGATATGCAGGAAGAAAAGGCAGGAGTATCTTAACAGTTTTTCAAAAAACTGTATATAGTGTTCCTTGATGCTACACCAAATCTAGAAACCTGGTAGTTTTTTAAAGGTTGGCTGTAATGTGGAATCTGAAGCTGTAACAATGACCTTTTCATACTCTGCAACATTAAAATCCATTGCTATTATCTTCTTAGATAGACCTTATCTATGCCTTATCGCATAACAAGTATTGGTTTTTTGGGAAAATATTAGTACATTGAATTACACAGATAATGTTGAAACATTTAATTACACAGAATTTTTAAAAAACATATTTTTTAATTAATATCACCACCGATCTCATCAGAAAAGTCTTTAAGTACTGGGAACTGTCAAGGTCATGATGGCATATACAAGTTTTCCAAAATCTTAATTTGAAATTTCTAATTTTTTCACTTGCAAGCTTGAATTTTATCATTATTAACAAATATTTTCCTTGATGTGACAGATCACTTCCTTTATTTTCAAGAATTGAGATTGACGATAGTATAGCTTTCAGTCATTCTTTTGAGAAAAAAATGGTGTTCCATGCAATACAAAAAACAGCTCATAACTCCATTATACAAGTTCTTTTCCTCAAGGTAATCACCAATACTTTGACAGATAGTAGAAACACTTTATGCATACTTCCCAATTTGTTACACAGAATATTAAAAAGTACTACTCAATGGTCAAGATTTAAAATGAAGTTCTTACTGATTTGTCATGGACATTTCTAAGTAAAAATGCTTTTCTCTTGTTTTAATAGTACATGGTGGTATGGAATACAGTGACTACCAGGATAACTCGGTGCTGCTGCCTCAATTTGTGCTAAGGAGCCAGCATTTTAACTTATTGCACTTTTGTATTCTAAGTGCAGATAACATGTCAATGTTATTCTCAAAGTAATTTTGATATCACAGATCTGAAAGGATCTGGGGAATCCCAGGGGTCCACAAACCACACTTTAAGAACTGCTACTACAGGAGAGAATAGGAGGTAAACTTAACCTACACTAAGGGGTTCAGGTAATAAGTCCCAAAAGAAACAAGATTTAACACTGTAAATGCCAAGAGACTAAAGGTGATCACTATCTGCTCGTTCTTTTATTCCTGTTAAAAAGAAAACCACAGGCCCATATGGAGTCACTTCCGCTAGGCCAAGTCCCCAAGCCAGGGTTTAATACATTAACCTAACTGCAGTTTCAGCCTCCCCCAGAAAATCACTCACAATTTTCTAGTTACCATAAATAAGATAAACTGTCACATGTGCCCTCTCCATCCCCCAAAGGAATCCACCCTTTGTCCCCAGAGGAAAGTGACCTCACCTGAAATAATTTTTCTTTCTATTTATGACATCCTTGTCCTGCCGCCCAGCCTTTAAAAACCTCTCTCTTTCTGTATGTAGCCTTTTGAAACAACTCTACTTGCTAGATGGGATGCTGCAAGATTCATGAACTGTTTAATAAAGCCAATTAGATCTTCAAAGCTGCTTGGCTGAATTTTGTTTTTTAACATTCCTGACTTCTGCTCAGTGCCTGATACACAACAGGTGCTCAATAATATTGCTGAATGAATAAATGCAATGACAACTGAGCTGAGTCATAAGGGAGAAACAGGGCTACAGGGAAGGTTTGAGGGTAGATCTCGGGGTGATCAGTGACAAGAAATGAAGCTGGAAGAAAATACAGACTTATTTCACATTACATCAATGCAAAGATTCTGCACAAAACGTTGGCAAGTATAATCCAGTATGACTAAATGGGATTCATTCCTGGAATGCAAAGATTCAATTATTAGGAAATAGATTAGTGTAAGTCATGTAAATGTATATATATTCTACTCCACAGATGTAATCACGAAGCATATAATAAAAATAGTAAGATTTTCGAGCAAAAGGTTTTTTCAGCACAATAAATAAAGTTAAACTGTTGTAGTTTTTTTCTCTCTCATTCTTAATTGCTGTTTTTTACTGAATGTGTTGTGGTATAATAAAAATTTGCATTTGGTCTTCGCCCCTAGTTCCTGGCAGAGAGCTCCTAAAACCCTTGCAATTTCTGGAGGGATAAGAGTGTCTTTTGTTCCATGAAAACACTACTAGAACTAATAACTGAATTCAGCAAAGTTGCAGGATATAAAATTAATACAAAGAAATCTGTTGCATTCCTATATACTAATGATGAACTAGCAGAAAGAGAAATCAGGAAAACAATTCCATTTACAATTGCATCAAAAAGAATAAAATACCTAGGAATAAACCCAACCAAGGAGATGAAAGACCTATACCCTGAAAACTACAAGACACTCATGAAAGAAATTTAAGAAGACACCAATAAATGGAAACACATCCCATACTCATGGATAGGAAGAATTAATATTGTCAAAATGGCCATCCTGCCTAAAGCAATCTACAGATTGAATGCAATCCCCATCAAAATACCAATGGCATTCTTCAATGAACTAGAACAAATAGTTCTAAAATTCATATGGAACCCCAGAAGACCCTAAAGAGCCAAATCAA